TCTGTCAATATTTCTTTCTGATTCTCCAATATAAGTGAGGGGGCAAGTTTTACATTTTATTTTATAGATTCCGCTATTTGGTTTTTCTTTCTTGTCTTTAAAATTGTAAAGTAATGTAGATAATTTCGTTCCAGTATAATAGCCAATATTTATCTCTAAATTGTTTCTTAGAAGTTTTGAAAATCTTTTGGCCATGCTTCCAGTATATGGTAAGGCGATCCATTTTCTATCGTCGGGATTGTAGCAAGTAAAACATTTATTTACTTGCTACAGTTACGATATTACAGCACTTGAATAAATCTATATTCATACCACAAATTGAAACCCCGTACCACTAATCCTAAATATAAAAACTCGGTTATTCTAAGATTCAGCAGTCGGATTTGGTGAATGAAAAATTCACAAGGTGAATCTTTTTGCGGATTAATTTTGTGAATGGATAATTTATACGCAGCAGACAGAAATTTAAACTTCAAACACGTCAAGCCTTCACATTATTCAATAATAGCTAAGTGCACACACTTATATTGTAAGTCCTACGATGTATTTTTGCATGAATTTCCCGTTTATGGGTACCAAATTAATTCCTGGGCTAGCGTAGCTTTACCAATATTTCGCCCATTCACAATTTTCTCAAGTCAATGCGAAAGCGTCTACAACAATACCCAACTTATCATAAGTAATATCGATACAATCAATGACCACAAATTCAGTTCCGTCGTCTCCATCAAAATGCAATCAATAAATTAATACAATTTTCAAACATATGCATCAATATTTGAGTCTTCACTTTTTGCGTCATTCTAGAAAATCGAGCCGTTCCCAGCCCCACCGGTATGGAAATTGCCTTTAGGTAACGCAACTCCTTCAAGTACAACTTCCTCCAATGCCCCCCCATTTCTGGGAAGGCCTCAATTTTTCTAAAATGTAGTAACACCTTGACCGAAGTAACATACAAATTTCCTAACGTATCCAAAATTATTTTCGTCGAAATCACCGAACTGACAATGACCAAACTGTTGAAAAGTGTAAAATAAACTTCGTTCACGCCGTGTAGCCGGACCACGAGGAATGTGCAGCCAGAGACGGCCACCGTGCCCGCGATGATGGCCAAACTCGCCGTGGCTTTCATTGGGGCCTCCAAACTTTGAAATATTATGAGCACAACTTTATAAAATTTTATATGGATCCTTAACCCACGGTGAATTATTGCAGATTGAAGTTTGTCCATTAAGTGGGCCAAGTTTGATAGCAAGGAAATGACCACGTTCCCGAAAACAATGGTCATTCCGATGCAAAATCCCATGAAACGGAAAGCCTCATATCCAAACACCGTGACGCAGACGACCCTCGTTGCAAACATGGCGAGTTGAAAGAGAATTTTGGAGTTGAATGCGAAATAGAGAAAAATTTTGCGGAGTTGGGGGATCATGGAGAGGGTTAATTCGAAAAATGGGAGCAGTGGGTCCATCTTGATGCACGTCGTGACAATCGCGGCAACTGGGGTGAGTAGGTAAGCAGTCCAAATGGTGAGTTTGACTAAGAGGAAGAACGCCTTCTCTAAACGGGGCGAGTTCGAAGTTGGGTGGTTCGAAGTTGAATGCAAACCTGTTCAAAAACAATATTTTCAATCAAAAGTCAACTCGATTGCTGAAAGAAGATTTTCATTCACAATCATTCACTTTCTTTCGACTTTATATTATTTGACTTCATTTCTTACTTCTAATATTAAGCATAGGGTGAAAACTGAAAGGCGTGAAAAATCCTTTTGTTCCCATTCATTCTTCTGAACTGACGGAATCCTTCATTTCATTTCATTCATCTGGCAACGAAGTTACCATTATTTATACTATCATTCAGCATTATCATCACTCAAATGAATGAAAGTGAACAGGTATGCTCACATGATTGCAAACTAATAAGACAATTTAGGGTACACTACTTGCAAAAAGAAACGATCTCCTAATGCCCCGGTTTGGGCAGAGATTTGGATGGAGGAAGCGCTCGGTAAATTTCCAAAGTATGAAGTGTGCCAACTTTAGGCCACGCTTTCTTCTCTTAGGATTCAAATATTCCTTCCAAATTTGCGGACATAAAAGTAGTGCCGATAGACACTACAGATAATTTTGTCAAAATCTGCGACATACATTCTCCACAGGAAATGCGCACAAAAAGAACATAATTTAACAAGTAAACCATACCTTTTCTCAGTTTTTCTTCACACCGTAGTACCTCATTACACATGACGACCGCTTCCTTCTGATAAACCCACATCCACACCGTGTAGAAGACGAGGCCGCAAAAGCAAATGACACAGAGCAACGCCCACGCCAAGATTACCGGATCCCCCATCGGATTACTCACCAAGGGGAACCTCAGCCAAATCGCGACAATGAAGAGGAACACGGCTGCAGCGAAGATAAATCCGGGGAAGAGTGAGACTACCAGGTCAAGTCGACGCGTCACTTTTGCCACCCTAATTCCTTTCCCTTGCACGCGTCTGATTTCAAGGGGGAGTTTATACAAAAGTGGGAAATGGTCGAAATATACGTTTTGCAAGATTAGCAAGAGTCCCACATAGGTGGATAACATTTTTGCGAAATTTTCCAGACAAAAAATTCATGGATACGAGCTGGCCGAAGTTAATGCAATGATTTCCTGTCTTCGATTTGACTCGGCGTATGTATAATATTTATGACTAATGTGCAGATAAAACTGTCAGCTTATTTCGACTTATGCAAGAACTCATATTAAGGTCGTATAATAACATTTGAAATATTGGCTTCCAGACTCAGCCATTTCGATAATAGCAGCCCCACGCCGGTATTGAGTTTTTAGTGTATCTAGATTTAAGATTGTATTTAATAAACTCACAAAGGGATGATGTGAAGTGCAACTCTCCGATTTTCCTGAAATTTTGGAATTGAGTGGTCCAAGTCAATACAACCAACGTTCCTACAGGCAGTTTGTGCAATGGTTCGAATTCGTCAAAATATTTGAGGCCAAAGTTGAAAAATTGGCGATTTTGCGAATGGAAGTGAAGTTTACTTTATTCGCTTGGTAAAAGTTCTCATTTTTTGAACTTTGGCCTCAAATATTTTGACGAATTCGAACTATTGCACAAACTGCCTCAAGAAACGTTGGTTGTATTGACTTGAAGTGCATGATTCCAAAATTTCAACAAAATCAGAGAGTTGCACTTCGCACCATCGCATTGTCAGTTTATTTCAACTTTCTCAGAAGCTCAAATCAAACCCATATCTTCAAATGCATCATTGAAATTGTTCGCATTCAAACATATTTTAAATTCATCAAAGAAATATACTTACATGTCAAGGAAGGATCATTCTTTACAGGAAAAAGGATGACCTTTAACTTAAAATTAAATTTTTATCATAAATCGTTCAAATTATCTTCAAAGTCTGTCTATAAGTTTGTGGCATGTTGGTTTTTCGTAACTAAACAAACAAGCAGGCCTGTTTACTCAACTGGTCGTAAAGCATTGTGCCACCACCATCTCGAGTTTTTCACCCCATCCAATCCAACGTAGAAAAAGGTTAAAAATTTAATCGCATTAAAGATATCGAATTAAGTATCCTGAAATTAAGTGTTATAGTTTGAACCTGAAATTTTTCCTTTTTTTCAAATTTAAGGAGTTTACCTGATGTAATTTTGGTTATTTTTTGGATGCCGTGGTGCGTGGTGCTCCTGACTGGTTAAACTATAGGAGGGGGCTCTGCGGGACTGATGACAGGAATGAAGTCTTTGAAAATCGTTTCAATGTCATGTCTCCAAACTTCATAAATGACGACCTTCCCCCCTCCATGAGAAGGGACTATGCTGTTATGCGTCAGCAAAAGAGGAAATTAATTGAGGATGGAACTGAAATTCAACAAATAAAAATGGATTGGAGTAGAAGAATTGTCAAAACACCTTTTACGTCATACAAAATTACAAATGGCTTGGCAATTCAGGAGGAACATGCCGAGAAAACGTCCTTCTCCCAGAAACAATCTCAAGGTCAGCATAAATTAAGCAAAAATTCCCGTGGACGCCCATGGGATTGTTTCAGGTGAACAGTTTCCCATGGGATCCCACCTATTATTTTTGGTGGGGTACATAAATCATGTCCATGTAATGCATTTACGCACGAATCACTACTTGGAATTAGATTGTAATTTACATATACATATCTACATACTTTATCATACTTTGTAATTTCATACAAATTTTTGCATATAATGAGGGGTAAAAAGAAAACGGAAAATTATTGCGAGCAGAAGTGGGCCCTTCTCTGCAGGGAGCAAAGTAGAGGCCCACTTCTCACTGACCGTATTTTAACATATGTGCAGTGCAGTTTCTCACGTTACTGTTACTCGCTTTCATTCATTCCGGGACCTGTGCCCATTCACTTCCTCACCATGTGGCTGAAATAAACAACTGACGGAGTAAAGTTTCAGCTGTTTTCAAAATAAATAAAAAAACACATGCAAAATACTTGTAAGGATTGCAATTTGTAAGAATTTCAAAGCATTAATGTTACTCATTTGTTATGTGATAAGTTAACACATTTATTGGTTTAGTGTACAAGTTGCAGTTACAAAGTTAAGTTTGAAGTCTTAAGTTTCAGTTAAATTTGCAATTTACGTTGACAATCGTGGCTGGATTGCATAAGATTTACATTTGGTAAAGTTATTCAAACTTTTCCAATTTTCCGAGTTAATATTTACACAAGTGAAGGTTAAATTTGTGCTAAAATTGATTCCTTGTAATTCAAAACTTTTCAACATTTCCGTCTGAAATTGCGGAAAACTAACCTCTGGTCGAATTACTAAATTCAATAGTGACGACCGTGCCATAATTTACTAGTTTTCTATAAAGTGGGAGGACCTGCGAGTCGTGAGTATTATTTTATAATCAAGGTACCATTATAACCAAAAAATAAGTACATTACCATCATAATTTTAAATATATCATAACTCGGTGAGAAATATGAAACCATGAAGGCAATATCATAAACCAATGTTTGGAGGTATCCACATATTACATCATCAAAAATCCTTTATTTCACTTAATACATTAAGAGATATGAAATTTAAACATGAGAGAGATATGACTATCTAAACCGCCCAACCACAAAAATGATGACGTAATTCTGTTTAGAAAGTAAGGTGTTTGTCTAACCTTTGTTTGAAATTTAGCATGTCTCACATAGCACGATGTCAGACCCCATCTCGCGTCATATAATTTACGAACCTCCCCCCACATGGAACAATCAGGGGCTATCGTGCCTATGGTAATGAGGGGGGGTCATCGCGATTTTTGCGTTACGTAATTTACGGACAGCCCCTTAACAAAACTAAAAACTCATTAGTAATTTTTTATTTGTTCGGCTACAGCCTCACTATGGACCAAGAAGTCGTTCCCGACACCCAGCAGACCGGAAGTCACGCCAAGACAGAAAAAATTCCTCCTCCTTCCCCCGAAGTAGACAAATCTCACCTGAACCAACGCCCAAAACTCGCCAAAACTTGGCAAAAACTCGGCCCCCTCATCGCCACATCGGTCGCCAATCGAAAAATGTACGACGGATATGAAATCGCCGTTAAAAATGAGACCTATACTTGCCTCGCGTGCGGCTTTGTAATTTCGGGATCGCGTAAATCAAAAAAATCCGATAACAGAAGGTTAATCAAACTGCACATAAAAGCGAAACATTTAAGTAAGTTGCTGTTCTCTTTTATGTTTTAATCGAGGACTCATTTTCAACACATTTTGAATCATTTCTTGTCAAATTTATTTCTAAATTCTGCACGACAAATTTGTGGGTCGTTTCCATTTAAAAAAATTACACTCCAGATTTTGTCGGTTTCTGAAACGAATGTCAAACATTAGAAAAATGGGACTTATTGGAACTCTGCGACTTTCTATTGACAAATTACAAATTTACTGACTAAAAAATTTGGCGTCAAGAATTTTAAAATAAATTTCCAGAGTTCAATGTTACGTCTGAGATCATCAGTAAAATTCATTTCAAATTTATACCACAATTTTCCCAATTTTCAGACGCTTTCCGATGTGAACCATGCGAAAAGGACTACACCTCGTATACCATGTACCGTTAAAAATTAATTTAACTTATCCCATAAATTTAGACAAGAAAACCTTTTGTACTGTCCCATCTAAATTCTACCCAAATTAGTCTCATTCCGTTGATAATTTCACCCAAACAAAATTTTACAGTGCAAATTCAGGGCCATGCAAAATATTTGCAAATACTCTGCCATTTTGAAGCAATTTTCAGGCGAATTAGATTTACAAATTTGGGCAAAATCCAGAAGGCACTTCAATTAAGGTTCCCTTGTCATATTAACCGCACCCTTAATAAAATTTATCCTGTTTGCCATTTACAGTTTACAAACTCACCTCCGAAAAATGCACTCCGCCGGAAAGCTTCCCACCCACGTTTGCGAAATCTGCGGAAAAACCGTGTCCAACATCGAATTGCATGTATGGAACCATCACAAATCCCCCGAGGAGAAAGAACAAGTCATCCAGTCCGGGGTAGGATTCGGCCTCATATCGTGTGACAAGTGTGGAAAAGAATTTTCCGGACATGACAAGCTCGCAGCGCATCAAACCCAAGGAAACCGATGTAAAGGGGCCAAGATAAGCGTCGAAAACGGTATGTGCCTAATAAGTTGGGTGTGACACCATCCGAATATATTTTGAAACCTTTCCAGAATTTTGGAGCATTTTCAAGGAATTTTTGGACATTTTTGGCGAATTTTAGGATATTATTAAGGAATTTGCGAACATTTTAAATAAATTTTCGGGTATTTTAAGGAATTTCTTAGTTTTTTGAAATGAATTTTTGGGTTCCTGAAGGAATTTTAGAGAATTTTAAATCAGTTATCACACATTTTTAATGCTTTTGGATATTTTAGGGAATTTTAGAGAATTTCTAGCTAATTTTGTGGCATTTTTAAGGAACTTTAGGGCACTTTGAAGGAGTTTCCTAGCAGTTTTAAGCAATTTTTGAGGTGTTTACATAAACGACTTTTCAAACACTTTAAAGGAAAGTGAAAAAGTTTCCGGAAATTGTTTAGCGTTTTTAGGGAATTTTTAAGCATTTTAGAGATATTTTCGGTAATTTCTAAAGAGTTTTTAAAATATTTAGCTCAATTTTTGAAACATTCTGCAATTTTGTGAATTTATGTAGAATTTAATATGTACTTATTTAGATCCTGCCGCTGGAACCTCTGGTGTCGTCCTGGGGAGCGCAGATAAGTCGGACACCTCGCTTTCAAAACCTTCCAACGGGAGGCTCACATGTCGCATCTGTGGTCGCTCAGTGACCTTTTACAGTCACGCTCAACACGAATGGACGCACAAAAATGAGGCTGAAAAGGAGGAAAGTATTCGACTGGGGACATCCCCAAAGGTTCGGTGTCACATCTGCAACACGTACGTGCTCCACAGCGGCTACAAGGCCCACCTCGATGTTCACAAGAATCCCGAAGAGATTTCCCACCTCGTCTGCGAGTGGGACGGATGCGGGCGCAAATTTGCGAGAAAATCGTACCTGGCCCTGCACATTAAAACGTTCCATCAGCGCTGGAAATCTCCACCCGTGGCCAAACCTAAACTCGATCTGCTCTGTCCTGGTGAGAATCCAAAAATTTTTGCAATTTATAAAAATTATAATAATCCTTAATCACCAATTAATATGGATTAATCAATCCTTAACCTTTGTTCATGAGTTAATCAATTCTTACAAGGGACGCTTACGACCTGTCGTTCGTGTCCAGGGTACCCACTATGTTTTCTAGAATCTACCAGGACCCTAAATGAAGGATCCATTCTTATTTCCGTGTAAAACTCATATTTGGGGCCGTAAATTTGTAGGTTTTTATTTTTAAAACCGCCATAACTTTTGAAATCATGGGTGGATTTTCAAAAAAATTTCAACGTCGTATGGATAAAAAGGTGATCCCCCGTATTTTCGCCAATTTGCACAACAATTACGTAAATCGGGATCCGCATAACAGACAAAAAATTGCGAAAAGATTAACGCAACAGGGTCCTCCAACTTGTCAGAGTTAGCGTTAAATAGATCACGACGTTATTACGATTTCCCCAATTTGTCACTTCGTCATAAAACTGCACAATAGTTCGAGTCCTGCTGAACACCACGAGTTGAAAGCAGGTTAATCTACACGATGGAAATTCGTCTTTATGTCGCGAATAATTTAAGAGTAGTGGTTTTACCGGGATTCCACCCATATTTGCGAAAATTTCCGTGTTTTCGTATAATACTTTGGTATCGAGGAACGTTTCATTGGACGACTTTTGATTTGTCGTAATGCCAATAAGAAGCAGGCAATTTGGGTCGAAATCGAAATTCGGGAAATTTTCAATGCTTTTTTGAAATAGGTGGACGAATTGGTAAATTACTATTGTCCAACTTACCCTCATCATAGGAAACAATCTTGTCTAGCGATTCAAATATGGATGCAAGCTTTTATAATCGAGGTTACAATATCAGCAAGCTGGTAACCCTTTGGTAATGTTTGGTTAGGTTAGTTTAGATGCAAAGTTTCCTGATATTTTTCCACACAATGGAAAATTTCTCACTCAAAACAACTTTGACTACTACCAACTACCATTCCGGTAGGGAATTACTATAAAATCAAAACCTGTATCGAGTATACTTACGACTCTACCAGGTTTGTTCAAATATGTAAGTATTTAATAATTGGTGTGTTTCAATATGGCGTAATGCTAGTAACGTTATGTTACCCAACTTTAGTAAATGCATGTTACAGACATACTTCTGCTGTGACACAACTTGTGTCGCATATAAAGATTATGCGAAAGAAATGCCATCTATTTTATTTATTTAAACTTTGAACTTTATTGAATTAAATTCAATGCCGTTCGAGTATGCAACCACACTTTGTACGTGATGGTGCATAAATTATGTCACACTGGGTAAGAAATATCTTTTTACTATCTTTACAGCCAGTGGGTCATAATTTATAGACCTTACCTAACGAATGCAACCATTATTACCTACAACAATACGCATTTGGTTACCTGCAAAAGAAGACAAGTGCATGTTTATATTATGTCGTAAAACTATTTATAAATGTTCAAAGCAAAGTTGAAAGTTTCTGTACACTACACAAATTCAATAGTTTCGTAATAAATAGTTCTATTATAACTACAGTATAACAAAGAGTTTGACGAATTTAGTTTCCATTTTTAGAGTATATCGTGATATCGCAATATGTATTACGGGTGGAGTCTAAACTCCACTCGTAATACATATTACGATTAAGAATATATTCGTCAACGGTCATGTCAAAGAACACCGGACACAAAGCATGGCAAAATGCTCGTCGGTTCGATTTGGCTGATTTTTTCATATGTTGTACCCCTGATGGTCCTGAACAATGTTCAAGTTACCCTCAGACCGAAATTCGACCTGCATGACCTTGTTTTAACGTGTCAAAGGTCACCAGGTCAAGTCTCACGTAGCCCCATAAATGTATCGTTGGAAAGGTCTCGGCGAGAGGATGGGATCAAAATGGATCAAAATGTTTAGATGCAATTTAAAGTTAAGTTAAATATTAAATAATGCCCAGGTCGCCCAGATTGGCTTTAACGGTATGACACGCTTTGTGGTCCATTTTCGAAATTTTTAACTTTAACAACCGTCTACACGGTCTATAATTATGCCTACCATGTATCACACATTTTAATATTTAGCTTCAGTCTTGACCTGGTGAATTTTTATTGCATAAAAGGTATAAAAATTATTACTCATCTTATTTACTTCGGGGTAGTACACAACCATCTATGTTAATAGAACCCTTATTACACAAGCATGTATTTACCTCACAGTGTGACATTGAATTTAGCCAGAACCAAAATCATGAAGGCTTGAGGTTCTAATCCCTGTCGCTCATCTTGCTCTTGGTATAATGGGTATATACATAAATACAATATTGACATATATATTCGCTCATGTACGTACCAGACCTGGCCAAATTAGTAATTGACAATTACAAATTACAATTACAAATTACAAATTAGTAATTGACAATTACAAATTACAAATTAGTAATTGTAATTTGTAATTTCGATTACTTCATTTCAAAATGTAATTGTAATTTGTAATTGAACTAAATTAATGGAATGTAATTGGTAATTTGTAATTTGTAATTGCACATTTCAACAAGGTGTAATTGTAATTCAATTACTTCTTCAATTACAATTACTAAAACACCATCTATTATTAAAGGAAGCAATCAAAAATCACCGATTTTGTTAAATCGGGCTTACATATTTCACTCAAGCTGAAAATTGCATTTCACTTTTTGGATTAAAAAAGATATATTGCTTCGTGTTTGTAAATTTTTTCGTTACAACCGAACAAATTACTACGGTACATAAATCCTTACACGCTTGCAAAGCTAAAATTATTAGTTAAAATGGAAACTCCTGATCGACAGAATAATTCACTTATCCTGCTTGGGAAATATTTTGAGATTGTGATGGCAAAATCAATTCCTTCAAAATGTCAAACTTGCGCTACACCACGGCTGAGCGTCTTTTTAATCATGCAAACATGATTCTTTATCTAAAGCGCATCTAGAAGCTTCAGAGACCGAAATTTTGAAAGTAATTGATTGTTAAAAGTGAATAAGTATTGAAATTATTTGAATTAAATGATGGATATTCATTTAAAAATCTCACATGTAATTAGTAATTTGTATTGTAATTCAATTGGTAATTTGTAATTGTAATTGAAGAGAAAATTTTTTATAGATGTAATTGTAATTTGTAATTAGTAATTGAGTTTTTTTTCAGTAATTGTAATTGTAATTGAGAAAATATTCTGCCTGTAATTATAATTTGGAATTTGTAATTTGGAAACCAAGTAATTTGGCCAGCTCTGGTACGTACGTACGAATGAACACACTTATTACCATTGAGACACATATTATATATCTTGTGTACATCATGTGTGTGTGTGTGTATAGGTCCTATTCATAACTTTGCTGCAAGATCAAAGTCAATGTCTTCAAGCTGTATTGAGTTAGGTTGTTTTGCTTTATTGATTCTTCGTATCAAAATTTACCTTACAAGGGAAGATGCCGAGGTGTCCAATGAGTTGAGGGTCGACACATACATACATCGAACTAACCAGAATATATTATTTATTCAATAAACTGTAGGAACTTCCGTGTAAAATTCACTTGTCGTCAAGTTGTGACTATATTTGTGACGAGCGTACAGTGTCGGACAGATGTCTACGTCCACATAGTCGCGTCAATTTCATTTTCAAATTGTCACTGAACTACTGAACCAATTTTCATCATTGATATATCAAATTCTCACAAATTTAACGTAATTTCATAAAACATATGAGTTATTTCTGAAAATTCTGGGAAAACTGAGAATCATAGTGCAGAGCGAGAGAGGATGAAATTTGAGCGGACAAAAGTCTACGTCCACTTCACTTTAATTGTCAACAGAAAAAATCTTACAATTATGGTACATGTAAAAATATTTGAGTTCCCCCAAATACGATTGTGATTCAGAAATAATCAGTGAGGAATTGGGATCTAAACTAAATTAAAATATTGTGGACCCTATAATCAGTTTATGGAGAAAATTTACAACGTAATTTTACCAGATAACCTAAGTAAAAACATTTCAATGCGTCATAATTTACACACATTACACATGAGTTTTATTCAGACAGGTTATATCAAATTGAATAAAAATTATTTTGTGGTTATTGCATGTTCACGAGGTACCTAATAATTTGGCAGTATGTTGCAAAATCTAGCATCCCATTAAACTAATGCATACGGTGTGTAGATAAATTATCTCCCTCTTAAATTGATATAATTTTTATGAGCTCATAGAAACATGGCTTGATTTATATGTTTGAATTGTCGTATATTTTTAAGTACCCTAATATGATATGTGTCCACCGGCCTTATTCATCTTTTCCTCCACTCTTGTTATGAAGCTTGCGACCGGGTATTGAAAAAGCAAAACCGGAAGTGATTTTCAATTTTTTCGAAACAGTGGTGAAATTCTATTCTTGATGATGGACAAAGGTCCTGGTGCCATGAATCCTTTAGTTGGGTCATATTCTATCTATCGGACTCCTATTCGGAGAATTTCCCAGTCACACCCCTTTCCACAGATAGTTTTGTTGTCCTCGATCAGTAGCTTCATTGTTCATTTTGTGTTGTGTGCTGGTGCTCCATCTTTTTCGGAATCTGCATTCCTTACACTAGGACTGATACTGCAGATAATAGCCTCCAAATATACATGGAAAATGTTTTTCTAATAATACAAGCCATTGACTTTTTGACCCAGAGGAACGAAATGTAGTTTTGTTGCCCACAACCACTAAATTTATATACTACCAAGATTATGCGGTCGTGTATCGCCTTTAAGACCGGTGGTACATCCTCCCTTTCTGTTGTCCAAGTTCCTAAATTTTGTGGGCTAGATTGTCCATACAGTTAGATCAACCTCTCATCAGTGAATACGATGTTTGACGATCACATTTGTCCACGCGTTCCAGGGGTCAAAAATCCACTTTTTTAAACAAATCTTCCTAACTGAGCCCGACCTG